AAAAGTTTTTGCACGTCAAAAGAAGTCCCCAACAGAGCCAAAAGAAAATGACATAAATTGGGAAAAGATTTTTGCTAACTGTCCCTCAGACAAAGGACTTCTAGCTAGAAAATACAAAGAATTAAAAAAAAGTCCTCCCAATTCAAAGATCCAATGTAAAAATAGGCATCTGAAATGAATACACAATTCTCTAATGAAGAAATACAAATAGCAAATAAATACATGAAAAACTTCACCAATGGTCATTCAAGAAATGCAAATTAAAACAACACAAATTAAAACAATACAAAGGCTAACATCAAGAAATCAACCAGTAACAATGTTGGAGGGGACCTGAGTTGGGGGAGAACCCTTCTGCATTGTTGATGGAAGGGTAGACCAGTACAACCCCTGTGGAAATCAATGTAGAGATTCCTCAAATTAGAATTAGAGGTTCCATTTAACACAGCTGGATATTTTCCCAGAATAACTGAAAACATTTTACCACGGTGATACATGCACACCCATGTTTATAGCCAGCACAATTTATAATAGCCAGATCTTATAAGATCCAAATGCCCATCACCTGCAGAATGGATAAAAAAAAAACATACGTTTTTATATGATGGAATACTCAGCAATAAAGCAGGATTAACAGATAAATGGATGCAACTAGAGACTACACTCATAAGTGAAATCAGACTTGCATGTATAAACATATTGTCTGCCTAGTATAAGAAACAAAGTAAGATCTGAAAGTTATAACAGATACAGTGAAAAGGAAAGAAACTCAAAGGTAAACAACCACTGGGATGAGAGAAGAAGGAAAAGAAAAAATGTATCAACATAAGATGCCAAAGATAACCATGCATTAGTTCATGGAAAGGAATAATTATTGCTCATTTTGTTTCATCAATTTTGCATGCCTGTATCTGGTAACCGAGCAACTCTTTTTTTTAAAGTTAATATGAGGGGCTGGAGGTTTTGCTCAGCGGCATAAGCGCCTGCCTTGCAAGCAGGTAGTTGTGAGTTCGATCCCTGGTACCGATAAAAAGGAAAAAGACAAAAATAAATAAATAAATAAAGTTAATATGCAATGTAGCAATCATTTTTAAATTGCTATCATCTTAAAATCCAAAAATGATAGTTTTTTATTGTCATCTTGTTTTCATTGTTTTTTGTTAGCTTTTTTGTTTTTGTTTTTTTTCTCTTTAAAAAAGCAGTTAGTGTGGGCTGGGAGAAACAGCCAACAGTCCTGGCATACCTACCACCATCGCCATGCTTCATCCCCTCGCTTCATCCCCTCAGGTAATCAACTAGGGCCAGGAAAAGCAGATATGCCTCCAGGCTGCCATTGGAGACATCTGCTCCCCACAGGCACTCAGTGCAGGCCAGGAAAAACAGACATGGTCCTGCGTGCCTGCCACCATCCAGAGTCCTGGTGTAGTCATGTAGGCTGGGAGAAGCAGTTTCTCCACCACATGTCCATAGTCATTAGGGAAACCTCAGTATAACCATGTGAATCTGGAGAAGCCTGCCCTGCACTGCACTGCCTCCCCAGAAACCTGGGTTCATAGAAATCAAGGTGCCAGACCCATCTGCCTACACTGTAGATGGACAGCCAACCTGGGAAGCACCTGGGACCCCACAACCAGCTCATGTAGAAGAACCTAGGAAAATGTCAAGACGAAGAACAAAAGGCAACTTCAGATCACTAGTCCACACTGAACAAGTCTGGAAGACATAGGGAATAAATTGGAAGTCATACACCTGAAATTGGAAGTCATACACCTGAAATTACTGAAAGGACAACAACTGCAGTAAAGAAACAGCTTTATGAGGCTGTAAAAGTAATCAACAGAAATAATACCTCAGGTAAAAGAAACCACAAACAAAGAACTGCTGAGTATATCTGAAGAAGACATAGATAGAAAAAATAGAGGAGCATAGGAAAATGAAGGGAACCTTGAATGAACAATACTGGAAAGAATTACAATGCATGAAATAGATTCAAAGAAATATCTGGGAAATTAAAAAGCCTATTGAAATCTGGCAGAACCACTTGAAAGTAACTGAAGGTAGATTGCAAGGTCTGATCCTGAAGACAGGATTGTAGGTGGTCATTATGAAAGGAAATATCTCTTAGTGAAAATAATATTTCAATAGCTGCAGGGGAATGCAAAAAAAAATTAAGATAGGTGTCAGTGAAAAAGCAGGGTTCTTTTGATATAAAAATGATATAAATGATACCAAAAGAGTATTACCGGAAGTAATAGCAGAAAATTTCCCAAGCATGGGAATAGGATCTGACATACAAGTAAGTGAGGTATATGTAACTCCAGGTAACCATAACCAAAATAAATCTACACTCAGACATATAATAATTAAGATCCAAGAAATTCAGCAGAACAGAATATTAAAAGCTGTTAGAGAAAAGGAACAGACCACGTATAAAGGAAAACCCATCAGAATCATGACAGACTTCTCAACACAAACCTATAAAGTCAAGAACAACTTTTGAGTGTTTCAAGTCCTGAAAGAACAACTTCCAATCCAAAACTACCTTTCAAAATTATTGAAGAAATAAAGATACTTTCATCACAAAGAACTGAAGAAATTCATGACCAACAAACCAACCTGACAAAGAATGCTAAAGGATATTCTAGAGCGAAATAAAGATGACCACAGTTCCAGGAACAGCAGCAGTGGTGGATCACCGAGAGGGGCAGGTAACTGAATGGAGGGGAAATGTAGAGAGCCAACAGCAGGAAAATAACATGGCAAAGCCAAGCCAGTGCATGTTGGTCATAACCATTAATGTAGATGGCCTCAATTTACCAATAAACAAGAACAGATCAAGAAACAAGATCCATCAATATGATTTATACATAAAACACATTTAGCTCAAAAGGAAATTCATAGACCAAAAGTCAAAGGAGAGAAAGCAATGTTGTATACAACGGAAACCAGAAAAAAGCAGGAGTAGCTTGCCCATCAACTGCAGAATGGATAAGAAAGACACAGTATTTTCATACAATAGAAAGCTACTCAGCTATAAATAAGATAATCTTGAGGCTCTTATAGGTAAATGGATGCAACTTGAGATCATGCTCATGGGTGAAATGGTTCAGTCACATGGCTAAACATCATGTTGTCTCCCTAGTATAGAAAACTGAGTTAGTGGGATCCAAAATGCACAACAGGTATTGTGAAAGTAATCAGCGAGGAAACATCTAAACAGGGAAGATGGTAGTCATTGTTAATTTCCAAATATCTTATTTTGAACTCCTGTATTGTGTTGTTTTGATAGGTTTGGTTTTACTCTTCCTTGTTTGACTTTATGATGTCTGATGATACTGGCAGCTATTTTGAAGTTAAGATAAATTATGGCAGCCACTGTTGACTTATTTTGAAGTCATGTGTCCCTTTTATTATTCTATCCTGATCGGCTCTATTCTGTTTGGATTTACTATCTTTAAAATAAAATAGTAAATAAATACATAAAATAAGTTATTGAATTTGACTGGAGTGGTAGCATGTCCACATAAGAAACCTTATCTTACTCATATTCAAGAGTGGTGATGTGAACCAATCCTGGGCAGTTAAAAGTAAATAGCAGTTACTAGGTAGAACTTGCTTGGAAAGCACTGCAAAAGAAGCAGAGTTGCATAGAATCTGCCATTTCTTTCTGGTTTTTTTTTTTTTTTTTTTTTTTTTTTCCTTATCTAGAAGGGGTTTATGATACCTGGAGATGCAGCAGCCATTTTGAGATATTAGGACTGAAAATTACATGCCAAGAAAGCCAGGACAGCAAGACTAAAGAGAACCAGCTCTTGGCTTATTACCTCTGGGTTTACTGTTAAATAAGAGGGGGAAAATGCTATGTGATTGAATTTCTGTACTTGGGTTTCAGTGCATGCTGCCGATCACAGTGAAAAGGGCTAAGGTGAATTTTCCTGGTCATACAAATCATTTTATCCAGTCAAAGGTAAAACTGACAAAGTAACAATGGCTACTGAGTTCAATGTTCTCCAGGTTCTTCAGTTCCCCTCTGAATCTGGAATGTGCTGAGGCAAATTCAAAGAAGGGTATTCTTCAAATTGAAGTGTTATTAGAATACTAATAAATGCAAATAAAAAACACAGAGAAAAAGGAAATCCCTCAGAAATGCTATTACAGATTAGGCAAACTAGGCAGAAAAAGGTTTTCAGTATATACAAAAATGTAAACATTTCCCCTGAGATTTACCACAGATAGCAGTCCATAAGGACTTATTTGGAAGAAAAAATGTCTGTTAAATCTGTAATATAGCCTCTAACATCTACAGACTTGCCATACTGAAAGTTAGATTTGTTCACACACGCCAAATAGTCTATGCAGAAAACTAAATGGCTCCTCATCAAGGCAACCTGAACATCAACCAGCATATGTGGAAGCAGAGGACTAAAGCATAGGGATCTTCCAGTGATAGCTGCCACTCACTATGTGTCATGGTTTATGTCGGTGGCCCCCAGGTCTCGTGCATTTGCATTATCCATTTGTGGTTGGTTCATTGCCTAGCACTTGGATTGATGATGTCATTGCTACACCCACCTAGGGGTGGAGCCAGCATACAATGTAATGGCAGGAAGAAGGTGTGTGTCTCTCTCTTTTGTTGGCTTCCTCTTTGCTGTTTGCAGCCGCCATGAACTATGGTCCTGCCATGCCACCCTGCCTTGGAGTCAACTGCATATGGACTGAAAACTCCAAAAACTAAGAAAAAAACCTTTCCATTTCCCAACCTTGGGCATCATGTATTTTGTTTCAGTGACCAGTAAAAAATAACTAAGACACTATGCTAACTGTATTTACATTTACCTTGACAGAAATTATAAAAAATAGGGGCCAGGAATTTAGCTCAGCAGCATAAATACCAGCCTTGCAAGCATGCAGTTGTGTTTGATCCCTGGTACCAAAAAAAAAGAAGAAAAAGAAAAATTATAAAAATATAAAGTATATGAAACCTTTAGTTGAGGCAGGGGTGAGAAATGAATTATTTATTGCTTATCAAATGTTTCAGGTAAAGGAATAAAATCAGTTCCTTGAACTTACAGAGAAAAAAACTAAGAAGATGCTCTCTTCTGTTCAGAAAACGGGGACTCATAAACTTCCATGGGTGGGCAGGTACAAACCAGATGCTGATCTCCATATATGTCATCAATCCGGGAAATAGTTGGCCAAAATTTGTTCTCTGGTTTCACAAAGGGCTGGAAAGGACAGAAGGTGGGAATGTTGTAGAACAGATTGAATATTTCCTTTTCAGGCAAAAGGAGGTTATAATACTCCCACAGCCCACGATACTGTGAGCTAAATCTACTCTGCCCTCTTTCTCAAAAAAATTTTTTTTATACCAGGGGTTGAACTCATGACCTCGCACTTGACAGGCAGGCACTTATGCTACTGAGCTAAATCCCCAGCACCCCAAAATCTAACTTTTGATTCTTATTCCTGTACTACTTATACTACAAATCCCTTTCTTTACATCAAAAAGGATTGCACTTGGGGCTGTCTCCCTGTTGAGAGTTAGAAAACACACTCATCCACCTGCAGGACTCCTTTTAGAGGTGTCCTCTGATCACCTGGCTCTGACTTCCGGGCCCTGGAAACCTATACCTTTGCTCTGTATTCCTCACCATGGCCCATGTTTTGTAGTGTCCTACACAGTTTCCATAATAATGAGACTACAGAAGGGACGCAGGGGTGCAATGCACGTGAACACCATCCTAGTCTGCACATTCGGCAGGCTTCAGAGCACTTACGAGTGGGAATGCTGCCACCTCTCTGGAGTATGGTCGATCCCAGTGGGAAGACGTGACACAGGTCAGGGAGTGTGGAGACATCTGAAACGGAGACATATAGGCAGAGGGGTCAGAGCAGTGTACTGCCTGCCCTCCCACACTGCCTCAGTCGTCAAACTTCTAATGGAAAGCTGAAGAAAGGAAGCAGTAGTTTTGTTTCACTTGATGGACAGGCAATTTTTAATGACAAAATATATCATGTATCAGAAAGGTAGGTAATAATGAGCACATCCACTATTCAGCAAAAGTACCATAAACACTGTCATACTTGTTAAATATCACAGACATAGTTGATGCTGCCTGTCTCCCCCTCCTCTCCAATGATAGCACTACCCTGAATTTCGGTTGTACTACTCTCATTTTATATCCTCTGTACGTGGTAACAGCATTTAACATAATTTGGCACATTTTAAAATCTATTATCCTATGACAAGTAGTCTTGGCTTGTTTTTGTAACTCAGTAATTTTGAGATTTCTATTGCTATGTCTTTTTGTTGCCTCACTATGCAGTTCAGGCTGGCCTTGGGCTCACTTTGTAGCCCAGGCTGGTCTTGAATGAACAAATGATTCTCCTGCCTCAGCCTCTCCCAAGTGCTGGGATTATAGGAGTGTGCCTCCACACCCGCCTCTAGTGCCATTTATTTATTTATTTATTTCGGTACTAAGGATGGAACTCATGACCTCGTGCTCACCAAGCAGGTGCTTATGCCAAAATCCCCGGTCCTCTATTACCATTTCTTAAAATAGCCCAAGTTCTTGAAGAATCAGAAATCTCCAGAAGGAAAAAAGACAAAGAAATGACAGTAAAAATGATTGTGGCGTTATCTCCATGACCCTCCGACACTCTCCGTATAGCAGAGTGCCTGCCTTCCGAGCCACTGGTCCCTGTACTTTGTTTTCTATGGGTAGCTTGGGAACTTGCTAGAGTTTCACTTCTCACATTTACTGCCATAAAGACACAACTAGCATCTTCAGCTCATGATCCTCTGGTTTATCTCTGGACCTAAACTTAGAATCAGACATTTAGGCCTAGCACCAGATTTAAAATTAACATGTTTTGCAAGAGGCAGGGTAATGTGTAACCAACTTTTCTCCAACATAAGCCATGAACAGTACAAAAACACAGGCCAAATCAAATGCCAATCCAATTTTTAGAAGTCAGTGATCTAAGATATATATATATGGTTTGTATAGTGAATGCATAAATTCTCTTCATACAATAATCTGACTACAGTGCATCAAATAGGATGGAAAGAATTCTAAAGCTACTCTTAAGTTCTCCAGCCTCTGCTCCTTCCTTAAGTAATTGGGTATACAGCTCCCACAATCACACTACACCTGAGTAACTGTAGTTCAAGGGGATTTAAACTAATTAATGACTGCATCTTCTCAAAAGAATTGTCACAGGTTGGGCAAGAATATCACCTTCAGATGAGAGTTTAGGAGCTGCCAGCACATGGTAAAGATGATATTTTCTACCCTGTGGAACTTGTTGAATCAAATACCAGCACCTACGCACCTTTAGCGGGTTGACCCTAGGGTCGCTGCGGCCCTCTTCGATGTCAGCAATTTCTTGCCGAATACTGATCATGGCGTCACAGAACCTGTCCAGCTCTGCCTTGTCTTCTGACTCAGTGGGCTCAACCATGAGAGTCCCTGCCACAGGCCAGGACATGGTAGGGGCATGAAATCCTGCAAAGGGACATAGAGAAGCTTGCGTCACGGACTTTGGTCTCCCTAGATTTGAATAAAGGTCCTCTCCTAGGATAATCTACACTAAAGAAATCATCAGCTAAATATGTACAAATACACATATACACTCATAAAGAAATGAACACATATCATGTATATATAGAGAAAATTTATCTCAGCTTCATTACAGAAGATTATTAGGAAATAACCTAATATTAGCCAATAATGGGGTCTCTAGACAAATTTCACAGAATACATATACAAATATAAGCAACCATTTAAAAGGATATGTTATATAATACATATTTATTAAATCAGGTGACATTCAAAATGATGTGAAAACAAGTTGCAAATTATCCCATTACTGTAGAAAACTAGACTGAGATATTTCACTTTTATTGTGTTTTACAATTTTTGAGGCTGAGATTATATACTAGGAGAGTACGTGCTTAGTAGTTAATTTGCGAGGCCCAGGGTTTAATCCTCAGCATGAAAACTAAAAGGCTTTTGCAATGATCATATAAATATACTACTTGTAATTAAAAGAAACAATATTTGATATTAGGTTACCAAAATTTAAATAATGAGGCAACAAACACAGAGGCTGGGATAACCTTCCCCATTTCTGTTTTATAAAGAAGACACTGAGACTTGGTCAGTCTGTGGAAAGTCTTTGTCTCTATGCTGAACAGAGCCTGAAGGTATCTCCGTATTTATAAAAGTTTGTATACGTAAAATGAACTGAGGAAATGTTATCAAAGGAAATTTCCTGCACAAAACAACTTTTTCCCATTGTATTTTTCTGTTAAACTATTTTTGGTGATATCAGGACTTGTGCATTTTTCACTGAGCTACATCACCAGCCCTCCTATAGAGCTTCAAAAATATAAGGGGGGAAAACCCACAACCCTCCCAGGTGGATATACCCATCAGTGAAGGTTGTTCCCAGTATAATATTTCAAATTCCAGAATGTGTCATCTTTAGAGGAGTGCTTTGGTCATGCTTGCATGCCTTAAAGACTATCCTCCCACATTTTTATTATAAAATTTCAAACATTTGGATAAATTGAACAGACTGCCCATATACCCACCACCTTCAGCTAGATTCTGTAATGATGCTGTCTATACTATACCCATCCTTTGTGTGTGTGTGTGTGTGTGTGTGTGTGTGTGTGTGTGTGTGTATGAGGTACTAGGGGATGACCTGGGGGTACTCTACTGCTCATCTACATTCCCAACCCCTTTTATTTATCGTGAGTTATGAATCCATTTATACTGAAGATAACAATTTTTTCAAAAAATTCGCATGGAATTCATATGTTACCTAGAAAAATTCAAGGAAAAGGAATCTGAAGAGAAAAATCTTTATATTCTGTTGTTATGGGCATTCCACAAATGAACACTAGACATTGAACTTCTGAACCTCCTGCTCTTAGCCTTTGAAGAACTGGGATTACAGGTATGTGCTATAGTGCCAGGGACCCTCTTTATTTTGTTGATGCATTTCAAAATACATTGTGATCCCAGCACTCGGGAGGCTGAGGCAGGAGGATCATTGTGAGTTCAAGACCAGCCTGGGCTACAAAGTGAGCTCAAGGCCAGCCTCAACTGCATAGAAAGATCTTGTCTCCAAAAAAAAAATCCAAAATACATTGTAGTCTTCAGTACATTTCACCTCCTAAATACTTTAGCATGTATATCATTAACTAGGATTCAATATTCACAGATTTCATGATAAAATTTCCATTTTTTAAAAAAAGGAATACATTGATCTCACTACTCACTGAAATCTGTCCTCAGTTCACTCTGTGAGTAAATTCAGTCTAATAGGATCTATTTTAATGGTTCCTATTATCTGGAACTATTTGAGAAGGTGTTTTAGAAGCATATATTCCTAGATGTGATACTGATTCTGGAAGATCAGGACAAGGCCTGCGTCTTAAAATTCCCAGGAGATTCTGACAATTAGTTTAGAAACCACTGTCCCAAGACAATACGCTAAAATGTTTTTGAGAAGACTCATTCAGGTGCTTTTGGCTCTTCTAACTATAAATGTTAAATTTGTTTCTTTTAACTGCAGTCAGTTAGTCATACAGATTATGAGGTTTCCTCCCTGAAAATGTGGACTCAGTAGGTGTGGTTAAGAACTAGAATCTATGTGGTCAATTTCATTATTCCTTTTTACAGTGTCTCATTTACTAGCACATATGTGCTGGATGACTACTGTGTACTAGGTAGGCATCTGGACAATTTTGGGCTTTGGACAAGTAAGGAAATCCTTCCATCAAATAGTGCCCAGGTAAAGATAGAGTATGACTTAACGACTTAGCAATAGTGAGTGCTGACTTCAATTACCACCTTTCTCCTTAGCCCTCTTCTCCCTGTTCATGTAGGATGCAGTTAGGCCACACATCCAAGAATTGAGAGTCTTCCCCACAATGGGTCATTATCCAGTCCTTGGCCAGAAAAAAGGAGGGGCAAGGGAGAGATTTGGAATGGAGCCTACTGTCAGGTTACCAAGCAGAGATTTTTGAGGTATTTGCTAGTTTAATAAAAACTTTTTCTGAATTTCACATTCATTATCAGTGTTAATTGTGTATAATAAGATCATTCAGGACAGGAATGAATCACATGTGGGACTCAATATAGTAGTAAACTATTCAATTTACAGAACTTTTCATATTGAAGTCACTAAAATTTAGATAGGACTCCACATCCATCCAAAGGCAAATTTCTCCCTAAGAGTTGGAGGATTATTGATATTATTTACAATGGCACTAAAAAATGTTATTTTATTGAGGGCTTCATTGAATGAGCACCTACTAATAAACAATAAAGGGCCCGTATCTTTCAAAATGCTTCAGGGAAGTTGGCATTCTTTTGTGGAAACAATAATGCACCTATTCCTTTATCTCTGTAAGCAGGAGAAATAGCTATGCCATTAAAAGTGATTATGAAACCCCATTGGCAGTAACACTTGTACAGGTCTCCCATTCAGTTTCCTTCTCATCCCACCAGCTTACTTCTCCATGAACTCTTGACTATGAGTAGGATAAGAGTAAGAATTTACCACTAACACAAAGAAATCATTTTCTTTGAAATTTAAAATTTTAACTATAAAGATATCTTTTATTGGCTGTGATAATTCAAAATGTATGTCAATATCTTTAAAAAAATTTTTTTGGAAGAGAATAAAACCAAGCAAAATAAAACAGAACAGTCAATCAAAACAAAACAATCAACTAGATACAGGACATCAAAACAAGACAAAAGGAAATCAATAATGGCTACTGTAATTCCTCTCATTATCTTCAAAACAACTGCCTGATCATTAGACAGTAAAATCACAGTTTTTTACACTAGGGAGACAACACGGTGTTCACCCATGTAACTCTGAACCATTTCACTCAAAAGCTTGATTTCAAGTTGTGTCCATTTACCTACAAGAGCCTCAAGGTTATCTTTTTTTCATAGCTGTGTAGCTTTGCATTGTATAAAAACACCACACCTTTCTTATCTATTCTGCTGTTGATGGGCAAGCTACCCCTGCTTTTTTTTTGGTTCACTGTCATATACAGCATTTTCTCTCCTTTGACTTTCAGTATGTGAATTTTCTTTGAAGTTAAATGTGTTTCTTATATAAAAGTGTATTGATGGATCCTGTCTCCTGATCCACTCTGCCTGTGTTTCCTTTTATGGGTGAATTGAGGCCATCTACATTGATGGTCACGGCTGACATGCATTGGCTTGCCTCTGCCATGCTCTTTTCCTGCTGTTGGCTCCCTACTTTTCCTTTCCAGTTAACTGTCTGCCTTACTTAGTGATCCCCCTCTGCTGCTGTTTCTGGAACCATGGTCATCTTTCTCTCTCTCTAGAATATCCTTTAGCGCTCTTTGTAGGATTGGTTTGGTGGTCATGAATTCCTTTAGTTGTTGTCAGGGAAGTATCTTATTTCTCCATTAATTTTGAAAGATAGTTTTTCAGGGTACATTAATCTGGGTTGGAAGTTGTTTTCTTTCAGGACTTTCCATTACAGATGTTTCTTTTCTCTAGCAGTTTTAATTTTTTTCGAACAGCTTTTAATATTCTGTTCTTTTGCTGAGTTTTTGGGTCTTGATTATTATATGTCTAGGTGTAAGATTTATTTTGGTTATGGCTAGCTGGAGTTCTATATGCTTCACTTATCTGTCACATCCTTTCCTAATGCTTGTGAAGTTTTCTACTACTACTTCTGTAAGTAGACTTTTTATCTCATTTGTGTTGACCCCTGCTTTCTCAAAGACACCTATTATTCTTAAATTATTTTTCTTTGCATCGTCTCACAGTTGTTGAATTGTCATTTCCTGGTTCCTTGTTATTGTTATGCTCTATGCTTATTGCCTTAGTAACCATGTACCTGGAGCACCGACCACATTGTTATAAATTTGTTATAAATGAACTGGGACGTTGCCATACTGTTCTGTATGCATCATCACCTTAGTAACCTGTTTGCTGTGTCAACTATTATTCCTTTTGTGAGAGGCAAATAATGCTGTGTCAACCTTTGTTCACTTTGTGAGAAACAAATGTTCCTGGAATTAGCAGACCAAGGACTTTAATTTAAGAAAAAGAAAGAAGGGGCTAACCACCAACTGCAAAATGTCTCTGACCTCAAGCAAAGGGAAACAAAGGTCTTTCTAATTCCTGCTCTGTCACTTCACTGGGTTAATGTGCTATAAAAATCTGTCAAAATTCTGACTCAGTTGCACAGCTTTGCAAATTCCATCTGCACTGTGTTGCTAGTGTTAGCTAAAATAAAAGCACCTCCTTTTTAAAAAAGACATCATCTTGCCCCGCTTTTCATCTCGGCGCCTTTTTTTGGGGGGGGGGGAGGAGTACAACAGTTATTTTTAAGAGATCTTTCTTTTTGTGATCACTAGTTACATACCCGTCTTCAAGCTCTAAAAGTCTATCTTCAGTTTCTTCCTCGCAGATTTGCCAGCTTTCAATGGAGTTTTTAATTTCCTGGATATCTTTCTGAATCTGTTTCATGCATTCTAAATCTTTCTTATATTGTTCATTCAAGGTTTCCTTCAGTTTCCTATGCTCTATGTGTTTTTTATCTATGTGTTCTTTAGAGACTCTTAGCAGTTCTTTTATGTTTTTCATTTCTTCTTTTACCTGAGACAGTATTTCTATTTGAATTTCTTTTATAGCCTCATGAAGCTGTTTCTCTACGTCAGTTGCCATCACTTCAGAAACTTCAGGTGTGCGGCTCCTGATCTGTTCTGTGTTTACATCTCTTGGCCTTGCTCTGCATTGGCTGGAGGCCAGAGACTGCCTGTTGCTCCTTTGTCTTGACACATTCCTGGGTTCTTCTGGATAAGTGGGTAGTGGCATCTGAGACGTTTCCCACAATGGCTACAATTTCTATGAAGCATGACATTTTGGTTCTCCTGGCCAGTGCTGACTACAGGTATCCAGTGGTGGCCATTGGGTGTGCTGGTGTGGGGCTGGTTGATGCTTTTCCCAGCCTGTGCTAGCTACTGGCAGCAGGAAGTGTCCCTGATGGTGGCTGGTGTGCATGCAGGAGCTGGGCTGGCTGCTACCTTCCAGACCTGAGCTGGTTATGGGCAGGAAGGGTCCCCAGCAGTGGGTGGTCATGTTAATATCTTTAAAGGGCAAAACCAGTACAGCCATAAAGAAAAAAATTTTCACTTTATTTTAATTTTAAAGAGAAAAAACAAACAAAACAAAACAGAATAGAGCCAATCAAAACAGAACATTTAACATAATGTAGATAGGACTTCAAAACAAGGTAATAGGAAATCAACAATAGCTACCATAATGCCTCTGTTATCTTCAAAGTAGCTTCCTATACCATAAGATATAATGAATTCAAACAAAACGAAACTGTATAAAATCAATCAAAACAGAGCAATGAAAACAATCCCTATTATTTTAACATTCACAATGCTATAATTCATATTTCACTGCTGTGTGCTTTGAACCACTGATGTTACAAGCTTCATGAGCTCATTCATTTATGCTTTGAGAAAGTGGTCCAGAGATAGTAAGGACCACTCCATAAACATCAAAGACTGTAAATTCACTTACCGTAATCCTGTAGCCTCTTGGCCACATCTACAGCCTCAATATTTGCAGACTTTTTGAAGGGTCTTGTATCCAAAATGAATTCATGAGCCACATAACCTGTTTGGGAAAATTGTTTCAGCTCAAGATTAGCATCATGTTGTTTTACTCCAACAAGTAATTCAGCTCTTTATGCATATAAAAGAAGACAAAAAAACCTATGTGTACTTGGTAAGTTTATAGCTGGTAATAAAAACACCATTTACTGTATCACATGTGCATCTGATTTTAGCTCACTACAGACTCATGAGCCTAACCCTTGCCAATGGGAGATGGGAGGCATTACTGGAACATTCAAGGGGAGGCATATAAAGATGAGATTGCTTCTACTCTGATCTCCTTACAATAGTTAAACACGTCTTCGTGATCCTGATCCTTTTATACAAAATATTTCTACAACTGAAGATCCAATGACAGTTTTCAGCAACTTTACTCTCAACATCAAATAACTATTTTATCTGAGTATACATAAATACATACTGATGTATTAATTTTATGTGATTCCTCAAAGGAGTTTGTAAGGTTTTGATTTCAGGATGCAGACTAAGATTTAAAATAGGCACTTGCCAAAGTGGCAAGGAGTTAATGGAGGCCAATTATGTGCATGAGTCACTTCACTTTATTCTACCCTGGATACAAATTGCTTCTCTAGGCCTGTGTGGCCGTCTCTGCTTTACAAGCTATTGACCCCGCTTTCACAGTCAAGAATAAACCAAAGAGGAAGTCAAACAACATTTCTTGGGACCTTCTTTTTTTTTTTTTTTTTCCTTTTTATCGGTACCGGGGATTGAACTCACAACTGCCTGCTTGCAAAGCAGGCGCTTATGCCACTGAGCTAAATTCCCAGCCCCCTGGACCTCTCCAATTCTATGGCCCTCCAACTGATGAATTTTCTTTGAGCAAAGGTTTTACTCAAGAGACAGGAATACACTGTACTTTTTAACCTGCTGTTCTGATTTGGCAAATGGTGAATCTACTTGCAGGCAGGCAGAGAAGACAGCTTTTCAATTCAGTGAAAAATAACCTTGGTCACCAACAGCTCCTAAAGAGAGCTGGGATCTGCTCCGCTTCTTACACAATGAATAAACATAAAATGATTGGTTTTGTTTGAAAATGAAAGTATCAAACCCTGAGACTAAATATACTTAAACTGCGTATTTTTAAAATATGCTAACGATGGGTAATGAATTAGTAAGTAGTGTGATTAAAAAATAGATTTTACTCATGCATAGGTAAACTCAAGAACAACAAAGTGCCAAAAAAAGGAAAAACCTGATGGAACATGAGTGTAAGGAGAAAAAATCATCACAATATTTAGGCTCTTATCAACAGTTAATGCTAGCTCTCTTCAATTCCCTGCTATACAACCCCACTTTTGAAGTCCAGCATCAACGGTTGCCATTTTCTGAGCCACTGGATGCCACCCTGAACACTATGACAATGACAGGAGTAACAGAGATAACTGATCCTCAGTGCTTTGAAGGACACACTGAGGCACATCAGCAGAGAGCTGATGTTCTTAATGGCAGACAGAAAAAACAGGTTTCCAAGCAGAGGTTTGATAACAGCTGAGAAGGACCATCCAAAGCCAACACAGCACTGCTGATACTAAGACCTCATCTGTACAGGCCCCCACCACAGCCAAGTGGTTTGGGAGAGATCCACTTGAAAAATGAGGTTCAGATGTTATTTTCTAAATCTACACTCTCTTTTACTCAAATGGAAACAAGTGGAATTTCAGGACTACTCTCTTCTCTCTACTTGAGCCCTGAAAAGGATGAAATTTCAATTTGTTAGCTATCAGAGTCCAGGTTCATCTTTGTTACAGCTTTTAGAATAATGATACATAAAATTCCTAGGGCACATAACAAGTCAGGCCAACCTAAAGTAGACACTGTAGAAACTGATCAGGGTGAGACTTAATTTTCACTGAGTAGCTGTCTGCACTGAGCCTAACCATAACTATAGCTGAAGATATGAAACGATATCAAGACAAAGGCATAAAAGAGAGGGGACAGTGGGATGATGGAAAAACAAAAGTGTCTTGGCTCTAGTTAGAATGTTTTCCCTATGTGTCACTTGTCTTGTGAGTCTCGAAACAACCTGGGAATGTGCTGTGGAAAAGGAGGACTTCCTAAATCCTCCTTAGAAGTAGGACTGGATCTTACTTTTTTATAAGCTCAAAGAGGCTGACTAGGAATACCAGAACTGACAAGGCAACTATTTTATAAAATTTGGGTGGGCAATCTACTCCTTTGAGCTCTCCAGTGGTATTACGAGGACCATGACTAACAGCGTTAAAACTTCTGGCCGATTCCCTGTGAATGAGGTCAGGTACTCTGGGACTCTGGCCTCTGCAGGGTCACTTCTGGGGTGGGGGGTGACGGGTCAGCTTCTGAAGCCCTTGCCACAAGGCAAGGGCTGCCAAGAAACCCCTCCAGCGTCAGGCCTTTGCAGGGAGCGCTGAGTTTGTCTCAAAGGTTTAAAAAGCAAAGTGGGGGGGGGGGGGGCACGTAACTGAAACATGGCCAGGAATTTAGCTCAAGCACTTCCCTGGCTCAAGCACTTGCCTGGTGACAGCAAGGCTGTGAGTTCAATCCCTAGTACCAAAAGAAAGAAAGAGAGAGAAAATAAAACAGTACTACCCTAATAAAAATTGATTAATCCTGCTGACAGACTCCATGGAGGTCAAAAGGGAGCTGATTCTAACAGATGAGCTTTGTGAGGTTTTTAAAATCTTTAAAAATGTTATCATTACCTGTTAGTCTCGCTGCTAATCCACATGTTTGATAGTTAACTTCATAAGGACTTATAAATATATTAATCTGATGCTGGCAGAAAAGGGGGGGGTGTGTGTAGGAACTGGGAAAAACCAATCGAGATGTGTTTATGTGCATGCACCAGTGGCTCACAGTGAATGTAATCATGAGGTACTGCAAACACGTATTAATAAAAAATTTTTAAAAACGTAATCTTCCCTAAGGTTAATTCCCTCTTTCCTCATCCAAATAGATGCTTCTCTCACCTCCCAATCCCTGCTTGTCTCTGCTTTGCTTTAAAAAGCACTATGCCTTGACTGCGTAGCTGGGACTGATCTCTGTCCCAGAGAAATGGCTCATAAAAGCAAGTCTGGAGTTCATTAGCGTGATTGCCTCATTGTTGTTCGTAATCCCCGAGTCTTACTTAGAGCTGGTAAACACGATTAAGATGAGTAACGAGGGCTACAGTTGCCATTGGACATTTCAGAATACAATGTGCTTATTGGGAACATTTCTATTTGGGGACCTCAGGAGAATGGTGGTGGTGCTTGTTTTTCTAGGTTCTAAAACACTCGAATTGTGCAATGAGTATCTTTACCAGACCAAACATGAGACGTTTAGGTTTCATGAACTTTGGGGTTGGGTAATAAAATCTGTAATCAACATCTATTCCTGTTTGGGATATAAATACTATTTGTTATTTAATTCTGGGGTAAAATGTCAAAATAAAAACAAATGAAAATTTCATCAGTCTTTTTGTCCTTCTCTCCTGGAATGCCAACAATGCTCCCTTCAGCGTAAATTGCTTTTTTTTTTCTGCCGCTGCTGGGGATTTTTTGCAGAGTCCTATTTTTCTTTTCTGAGACATGGTCTCACTAAGTCACCCAGGCTGTTTTTCAAACTTGTGATCTCTCTACCTCCACCTCCTAGAGTGTAAAATTGTGAACATATTAAAAATCACCAAACTGCGTACTTTAAATGAGCAAATAACATAGTTTATGAATACTATTTTAATAAAGCTCTCATAGTTAAGGAAATTTAAAGTATAAAGCTTATAGTATAAAGAATTAAGCAATTAAAGAACTTAAGCCTTGCAAATTAAAACAGTAAGATCGTTTTTCATCCATCAATCACACATTTTTTAAACTTTTGCTGTTTTTCAGTTTGGCACTCTATCCTCAGTAGTCCTGGTGTGACTGTCACATGCTATCAGTGGAAAATATCAGAACAAAGTCTCTGGGGAAAAAATGGAGGCCGTGTATATAATTTCTCTTCTATGATAATATTTTTTCTAAGGATAAAATAAATGTTTTCAAAAATTTAAGTGGATGATTCTCATTGTAGCAATGTTATAACTGTAAACCACTGAGAAGAAAATTATAAAACTGGTTAAATCATGGTAGAATCAGGCTGGGGATTTAGCTCAGCAGCATAAGCGCCTGCCTTGCAAGCAGGCAGTCGTGAGTTCGATCCCTGGTACCGATAAAAAGGAAAAAGACAAAAAAAAAAAAAAAAAATCATGGTAGAATCACACAGTACAATATAGGGAATGTAAAGATTAGTTGATGATACGGCAAAGTGCTCATAAGATGTTAAAAAATAGGATGAAAATCGTGTTTGTATTTGTAACGATACCAATTGGATAAAAGATGATTATTATTAGTTGGCTAGGTGTGATTAATGGAAGCATGGATCATTTAATTTTTCTTCCTCATGCTCTTAATTTTCCAAATTTTCTATGATGAATAATACACGTTTCTTTTATAATCAAAGTAAATATTTAGCCTAATTCTTAAAGTGAATACACAAGACACACTTTACAGCACAGAAGCTATATTTGAATTAATTAGTAGCTCCAGCAGTACTTTAATACCCACTTTTCCAAAGCATTTTATTATGTTGCTTAGAAACACATTGCCCACATTCTCCAGGGGTGTGTGTGTGTGTGTGTGTGTGTGTGTGTGTGTATTATTGGTGGTCTTACTAAATTGTCAAGTTGTCCAGTATGAGTTCAAATTTGTAACCCTCCTGCCTTAGCCTCCCATGGTGCTGAGATTACAGGCCTCTGCCACCACGACGGCTTTTGGGGAGCATTTCTAACAACAGCTTCTGGTTATTTCTTTCCTGTTTTTGAATTTCCAAACCATCCCTTTAAGTTTTTGTTTTTGTTTTACTTGTGGTATTAGAGACTGAGCTCAGGGCTTGAAGCATGCCATGGCAAGTGCTCTATAACTCAACTATATCCTTTTTTGAGATTTTATTGTAAAAAAAATAATAAGATCAAATTTTATTATATTTTTAGACAGCCTCAACCAAGACATCTAGACAAACTTAGGATCCTCCTGCTTTAGCTTCTCCAGGAGCTGGACTTACCATTACACCAGATGGAACCACTAGGTAAGTCCAACTTTCAAAAACCATCAATGTAGATGTACACTTGCCCTGGGCTAGAGAAACCAAGATCCCAAGATGGGCCTCAAGGCTACTGCCATGGTTTGGGCATGCTGGGGACTGACTGTTTTCACTACTCCAAACTCCAAGATTCTCTGCACTGCTCTGAACCTGTGCCGACCTCCAGCTGGTCCGTAGTTACAGACTTCCCCATTCAGGCAACTTGGTTCACAAACCTACTATCCAGTCTACTGCAGCTTCACTTTGTTTCATAGCCTCTTCCTTGCCAGCTTAAAATCATACTGTATTTTCACATTTAAAAAGAACATAGACTTGCATCCTATTTAAGCAGTGCCCATCAGATTTCACTTCCAAAGTTCTCCAAACCACAAACACGTCTCCCTTCTTCTCAACCTCTGCCTGCTTATGAGCTCATTTCCATCCCTCCCCCCAACTTTTTTTTGTAACAAATTGAACTCATGACCTTGTGCTTGCTAAGCAGGCGCTGTGCCACTGAGCTAAAAATCCCTGGCCCTCCCTCATCTCCATTTCTGCCTGGCATCTGCCTCTCCATGTGGCCCGAAATACTTTCAAACATTACCAAGGGCTTTCTAATTGTTGAAATCAAACATTTTTTAGGAAATCAAATTTGTTAGCTATACCTCAGTGAAGCTAGAGAAAATATATATGCATAAATAAAACAAAAACCATCTCCTCACTCATTACCGCCTGCCTCTCTTTGTCATGGAACACCATGCACATCTGTCTACCCCAGTGCCTCATGCGCTCAGAGAATAGGGCTTTGGGGAGGTGACTGGTTCATGCTTGTGTCACACTGAACTAGTCCAGGAATGGGTTCATAGCTACATGTGATGCTGGGAGGTTAAGCTTCGTGGGAGGAGGTGGGTCACTGTGGGCACGGCCTGGATCTGTGTCTATATATCCCTCCTCCTGCTTCGAGTGTGCGGCTTCCTGCCTGCCATGCCAGTTTCTCCTCTGTGATGCCCTTCCACCATGCCTTCCTGCCCGTAGCTAGCCAACTGTGAACTGAAGCCTCTACAAACTGTGGACTGAAATAAACCTGTCCTCCTTTAAACTGTGGATATTGGTATTTTGTCCCAGCAATTAGCAAGGAACTAAGACAGTGGACTACAGGTGACAGGCCAAGTGTGGGTGTTAGAGAGATAAAGCAGCCCCAGCTTCTCCTCACACCATTCTGGAAGTCTGAGACAGTTAAGAGTGCCGGTAGAGCAACTGTTCAATTAAAGAGAACTACAGGAGACAGACTAGCATCCCCCGGGGAAGGGAGGCCGCAGCAAGGAGACGAGTCAGATGATAATCGGGCAGGATGAGCAAGTGGCTCTACAAGGTGAAAAACTGCTTGCTGCCTCCTCAGGACCACCTCTTTCTTAACGTCGCCATTTTGCTCTCATTTAGCCACACTCTCCTTGGGCCCTGCTGTAAGACTCTGCTCTTAGATTCTGAACTGGGCCATGTAGACTAAGTGCCCTGTAGAAAATAGTGTTACCTAAATTGAAGTTGTTTTCAAGAACTCTACACTTCTCTGGTATACATTAAGAAATAAAAGTCTTCCTCCCACTTCATAAAATCACATCTTAGTTTGGCCAAAGACAAAACAAAGTCTTACCAAATACCATTGGGCTTTGATAAAGGTGTTTAAAGTTTACCAAAGATGGTAAAGGTGATACTTGCCTCTTGCACCCCTAAAAAGGATCCTGTAGTGTTTTTCTAATCGCTTAGCCATGTAGTTGGCATTTAATATAGCAATTTCTGTGGCCTGTTTAAGGCCTTTGCTTCCCATCATCTGCAACAAAGAGAAAAAGAGCCATCAATCTCTGAACAGGTGAACCCAATGGTCCATTCACTGACCATGCACTCCCAGACAGAGCCCGCCCAAAAGAAGATGTCAGCCTACTGCAACTCTGTGAATTAAGGACAAATGGAAAATCCTAAGATTATCTGCCAGTATTCTCTAAACTTGATAATATTTGGTTTTGTTTTTTAAGCACTCATTTAAAATGTTTTATTGTAATAGTAATGCCTACCATAGGTGACTTTGACTTCTGGTTATTACGTTATCTAAAGAGGAGAAAAGAACTGTAATCAGCTTGTGTGTGGCGTCATCTTTGTTTTACTGTGAGATGTACTGATAAATGCCAGGAGTCTCATGTGATCTTGGTCAGACTTGTCACTCAATGAGTTTTGGGTGGATTATCTTCCTGTTGTCTACAGGCATTTAATGTTTAACTACTGCCAGATTCACTCTTACCCTGTTCTAGCCACACCGTATCAAATGGGCTGCCAAGAGCTGTAAAACACTAACAGGACAAAGGTCAACATCTCCATCACACTACATGGGAAGAAACAAGGCACATGTTTGACTCCTAAATAGAATGCTTTGGATATCACCAACCAAACTGGGATCATCTGAACTGAGTCCAGCTGGCTAATTCTAAATATGCATTTTTCTCACATACAAAAATGACAAAAACATGATAAACAGCATGTCTTGTTATCTTTTTCTTTCTTTCTTTTTTTTTTTTGTACTGGGGATTGAAGTCAAAACCTTGCGCTTGCCAGGCAGGTGCTTACACCACTGAGCTAAATCCCCAGTCCATGTCTTGTTATCTTAAAATAAGGTATTTACGTATTCATGACTTCTTTCACAGCCCCATGATGGTGTTTTACAGTTTTCCTCTAAACTTCTGGTTAACCTTATTTATGAATATTTTGCTTTATTATGCCAGTATTAGTGGAAGATTTTTCTTTCATTACATTTCCTATAAAAAATTTTACAATTTATATAAAACCTTTTAACATTTATGTAAGAAATCTTCTGACCTTATTTATTAACTATAATTGAACAACTTAAATCATCTCATTGTTAAGACTCTATCCTGTTCTGGTATTTAAGTTCCTATGATCACCTGGGGTAGACATCACCACTATAAAGAGCTAATATTAACATTATATCAATTTTCATTGTCTGCTTTCTTCCCAAAGGATCTAACATACAATGTAGGATCAGCACATATTCAATACATAACTAATGTAAAGCAAATGACAAATCACCAAATCACAACACCAATGTCCAAAGTAAGAAGTCCCATGTCCCCAAACTACTCAAAGAAAGGCTCCTAGTGCATAAGTTACAACTGGAATCATAAAAATGGGAGGAAGGTGGACAGGCAAAGGAGAAAGGGGAGCCATTCTAAGTGAGAAGAACAGCAAACACCGCAGTGTGGAGGAAGGCACATGGCTGTCCCCTAGAAGTCAGGACAGGGCAGGCTTGACTGTGCCTATGCCTTCTAAGCCTAGAGAACTACGTCTCTCAAACTAGTACCAGAATCGAGAGCGTCACCCTCAAAATGCTGATGTCTCAAGCCCCACGTGTGATGCATCTTATTTTCTCTGGGAGGAGGTCAAGGTATACTCTAGTGACAACCAGTGATAAAAGTAATAGGAAGTGAGAGAAGCTCATCAGCCCCTAGGGTGAGCCCACTAGTCCTATGGGAATGTCCAAGATACCTTAGAGCAGGGAGAGAGAGATATGCTAGAGTAAGGGGATAACTATAGCCTTAAAAAAGAAAAGGCCTAAGGTCAGAGAACTATCTTAAAGTCTACTTTATATAGTTTTTGTTTTGTTTTTTGAGACAGAATCTAACGATGTAGTTCAGGCTGGCCTTAAACTCATAGCAATTCTCCTGCTTCAGCCTCCTGAATGCTGGAATCACAGGCACGCACCACCATTCCTGGTCTATGTATTTTTTAAATTATAGTTCTGGCTGGTATTTGAGGCATATGGCCATACTAGCAGAGGAGTGTTTAGTTTAGTTTTTTTTTTTTTTTGTCTTTTTCCTTTTTATCGGTACCGGGGATCGAACTCACGACCGCCTGCTTTCAAGGCAGGCGCTTATGCGGCTGATCTAAACCCCCAGCCCCCGAGTGTTTAGTTTTTATATATGAGAAATCATCTTCAACCCAAATATGTCAGTAAAAATAAGCAGACTTACAAAATTCAGAAATCAATGGGAAATGGAAATTTGATCATTTGCAAAACAAACAAAAAACCAACCAGACCTTTTTTTCTGTTTCATTATTTACTATTTGTGAAACAACTGGAGTATTATTTTTTAAAGCAGATTCCAGTTTCTGAGGTACAGAACTGTTCCAGATTCCAAGAAACTTTTCATTAAGAATCATAAATGCCACAGTGTTCAAGAATAACAGCCAGCACCAATCAACAGCATAATTTGCATAGCTAAGTTCTGAGGGGTTTTCTTCACCAGAGCCCCTGCTTCTTTTAATGAGGGCCGCTGGTTTGGAGAAGCCGCCCTAATTAGCAGCTGGACAAGTGTTCCTGACCATGAGCTTAACCATCCAGGAGGTGGGCAGTTTGAATAAGAACTGTATAGAATAAACACTGGCCCTAGTGTGTTTTGCAGAAAGACAAAGGAAGGAAGCCCGTTGTCTGGCAAACACTATTTACCCCCAACCAGAAAAAAAAAAAGAAAGAAAGACTAATTACCCCCAAGTATACAGTGCCACAAGCCCTAAAAAGCAAGTTTTTGGAAACCACCACATAAGCAAATTTCTGCTATTTTTCATCTTACCTCCAGACTGCCAAGAAATACAAAGCGAAGTGAGATATATTCCTAAAATTTATCCCAGGATCTCAAAAATAATAATTAGCATGTGGACAGCTTTTAACTTGCAAGGGGCTAAATCTACAGGAAACCAAATAGCACAGCCTGAATATCCATATGACTCATGGAACTTAACTGTGTCTGGAAAAATAATATATCTGACACAACGCATCAGTGTCTCAGACGTTAAATGCACTACGAGAACCCAAAGGAAATGGTGTCATGAAGAAGCAATGAAACAAATTTTAGCTCATCTATTTAGGCAGGCTGCTTCACCCAAGCCCTCAGCACCTCCACTGAACCACACCTCAGATCATGCATTTCTTCACATTTATCCCAAGAAGGAAGGCGGCAGCCTCAGCCCCTCACCCACACATCCCATCCCTCCCTACCCTACACAGATCCTCAGCGCTCACCTTGATGTAAGCCCATGAAATGGGCAGGATGGAACTGGAGCCCCAGGGGGCTGCGCTGATGGTCCCCACAGGCCAGGTGCCCTCATTTGGCTTTATGGAAATCATAGGATGATTGGGAAGAAACGGGGCAAGATGCTTCTTCCTGTATTTTTTTTTAAAGCACATATTCAGAAGATATAAAAAGGCAAATCAAACAGGCAAGCTGTGGGCCCTCTCACGGAGCCCTGTACTTAGAGAAACTTTGACTGTGAAGAGGCCCCTTCTTTCACTCCTTCTCTGCCAGCCCCCAGCATCCCAGCAGCTTGTCCAAGAGCTATGGTGGAGGATTTAGTGCAGGCAGAAATGGACAGGAGGGAAAGCCTTGAGCTCACGGAGCTATGGGGATGGCCCAGCCCTAGCCCCATACTCTTCCCACCAGCCCTTACCCCCACACCCTCCCCAAGGTGTCTACAGGGTGGAGACTGCTGCTGAGGGGCTGCACCAGTACTGAGCACCACCTGCCTCCCTCCCCTCAGCTGAGGCAGTGGGGCTCCTCATTTACTAGGCATCAGGCAGAGAAAAGCAGGAAAAGTAGGAAAGCCAGGCTCCCACTGATCCTAAAAAGTGGATCTCCAGGCATATTTTTGGAAGACTGAAGATGATCTGAAGAAGGCTACCCCTATGCTAATCATAGCTAAGAAATACTCCTTCCATCTTATTTTCATTTCATCAAATTATTTGTGGTAATAAGATTTGTTTCCTCCTTACCAATCTCAGATGTAATAAGAATTCAGGGTATACAGTATTTGATGCCTTTCATGCAATTGACATTCAATGTAGCCATCAGCTTAGAAGAAGGAAGGGAGGAAGGATGGGGGGAGAAGGGATATGGGAGAGAAAGAGAGACCGGGAGACAGACAGAGACAGAGAGACAGAAAGAGAGGAGGGGAGGGAGGAGAAGGCGAGGGGAGAAGGAGAAGAGGGAGACAAAGAGGGAAAAGGGGAAAAAGAGGAGAGAGAGAGTAACAGAGAGAGATGGCGGGAGGAGGGTAAAAGAGGAGAGGGCACAGGAGAGGAAGGGAGGGGAGAAGAGACAAAAGGGATTTTGGAAATCTAGTTCATGTCTGAAAGACACTTCCAGTGCCAGTATTCCAGTTGTGATCCCTAATACCAAGTTCCCTATTAATTGCCATTTTTTTCTTTTTGAGACAAGGTCTCGCTATGTAGTTCAGGCTTGGTCTGACATTCACTATGCAGCCTAGGCTTACCTTGAATTTGCAGCAATCCTCCTCTGCCTCAGCCTCCCGAGTGCTAGGATTACAGATATGTGTCACAACGCTCTATCTATTCATGACTGGGAACTTAGTGAGGCTCATCAAACACCCTTGGTGTGTAGCCTCATAGCGACTAAAATCTAATTACACTAATCTTTGCAAGTATCCTAAAACCAGCCTTTCTCCGCTCTATATCCAGCGGCTACAAGGACACTACTTATGAAGGTAACACTTAAAGACCTTGCCAGGAAAAAACAAATCTCGGGCCACTCCAGCTCCAAAGCTGTCCTGAAACTCACACTCCAATAGGCCCCATGCCAGGGCCACCGCCTCCATGAGGAATGCAAAAGGTCTTGTGAAGATTTAGGTGCGAGACATCAGACCCAAAGTCTCCTGGACGACAAATTCCCACCTACCACAGAGGAAAAGAGCCAAAAGTCAGTATCAAAGAGTTGGGCAGGGCCCTGGGGCAGAGGCCGCAAACCTCTGCTCCCAAAGGGAAGTCAGCCAGAGCCATGGCTGTGTTGTCTGCAGAAATCTCCTCCATCCCAGCCAGGTCTGCACTCAAAACCTGGCATCACATAGGCAGGGTGGCTGCGGTTTCTAAGAAAACAGTAACTGACCATTTAGCTCAATTTGGATTTAAAAATATAGATCTGAACATGCAGTCTACCCCTAGCTGTTCAACCCAAGAGGCACGATAGGAAGCCTTGCTAACCCACGCAAGGACAGTTCCTTCTGGCTACTGAAATAATGATTTTCATTCACCTCCCACAGTTCTACCCTCCAGGTATTTTTTGTTTTGTTTCTGTTTCTTGAGACTTGAGTCTTACTATATAGCTCAGGCTGGCCTAGCACTCATGGCGATTCTCTTGCCTCAGCCTCCCAAGAACTGGGAATAGAGGTAGGCACCACTAGGTGCAGCAGTAAGCTGTAGGTGTCATGTGCATTACCCAGCAGCCCCTTCAAGCACACTGACACAAAGACCAAAGGGGCAGCAAAGGGGATGCTAAACTGGGGGAGGTGGGGAGAGGCCATCCGTTTTTCTGAGATGATCCAGATACCAGCCATGATGTCCAACTAGTGCCACTGCCACTTCAGCTTTAGGCTGATCTAATCTGGATGTGAATATATTTGCTCTATGCTACTGAAGCAGAAGATGATCCCTACATTTATGACTACATTTATGAAAAGAATCAGTCAGAAGCAAAGAAAAGCAGTCTTTTAACTGTGTGGTTAAAGAAGGAAAAAAAAGGGAAAAGAAAAGAACAGAAAACAAAAGGAAGAGGGAGGCAGAGAGACAGGCAGCACAGAGAAGTTGAGGTAACTGTCCAACAGACTGTAACATTCCTCCTCTCCAGTGGCTCCCGCAGCATTTCCTGGGAGGCTCCCCTTACAGACACTCTGTCCCAAGCAGTCAGGTTCAGACTCTTTGACCTGCTGTTATACAGCTAGCAAACGAAACCAGCAATAGCAGTTTGTTAAGGTCACAGAAGATCAACAATCAGCAGTAGCCAGGGTTGCATCTAAACTCCTTCAGCCAGGGCGCTGGAAGACCTTCCTGATACCACCTACTTCCCAGTGGCAACTACGGGAGGCCCTCTCAGGCTCCCTACCTGAGCATTCATATTGGCCCCGTCGAGGTAGACCTGTCCTCCGTGCTGGTGGATCAGGGCACACACGTCACTAATATTCTCCTCAAACACCCCATTGGTGGATGGGTAGGTAATCATGATAGCGGCCAGGTTCTCCTTGTGCTTATCAACCTGCAGGGAAGATGACAGAGGGAGACAAGGGAGGGCATTCTTTTCATGGCCAACCCTTTTATCTTAAAGAACTAAGAAAGTATTTACATTCTTAGCACAGTTTCAAAGTACAGTGACAATAGCCATTCCTCTCTTCATAAATCATTACAGAGAAACAGCAAGATCCTGGCAGGCCACAACTCTATGGTCAAAACCCAAGAGACAGTTTGGAAGATTTCTGGACATTCTGGGCCGACCCTGCTAAGGTAGTTTTCCCTTAAGTCATTCAAACAATGATTCCAGGTGTACTGTAGGCCTAGTCTATTACTCGCTGCTCATTTTGTCTGGCCCATCCCTAACCACTTTCCTTCATCCTCTTGAAATTAGATTCTCCACAAGAAGTGTCACTGTTTCGACAAAAACATGCCTTATGTTTCCTTTTTGTAGACTGTACATTGTAAGGAGGCCCAGTCCTGGTTTTGTTGTTGGTTTCTGTGTTTTAGTTTACTGTTTTTGTTTTTTATTCTTGGCCAGAAAATCAGATGAGGAGCATGTGGAATCAATAAAGTCATATCCTATAGGGCAAAGACTGTATAAATACTGGCCTCAAATATTTGTAGGGGAAAAAAAGCCTCTGGCAATGGAAGTGGGTGTGGTTGAAAAAAGATGGGCAGCATTGTATATTTTTGGCTTCCCTTTGAAGGCAGTTAGATGAGATTCCCAGGCTCCATGCTTAATAACCCTAACAAAATCACATTGCTATTCCACTGATTTCCTTCCCTCTTAAGATGCAGCCTCCAGTCCACCAGTGGAAAGCAGATATGGTTGCTAAGCAACCTCTTCCTGGAGGTTGGGAGGTGGGGACTGGGGGCTGCTGTCTGAGAAACAGGAAAGAATGCTGCCTGGAATTCTGCATAGTATGGCTGGGACAGAGGAGAACATTTGCTAAATCTATTTGTGTTCCAATGCCCAACACTATGACAGGGTGTAACCGTGACCCGCAGTTTGATTATTAATGGGACTAGAAGGGTGGGGAAAACTAAGGAAACTGGGCAGAAAGAGACATGCAGGTCCTGCAGGAAGTATTCTCACTACTGCCATGAATTATGCATTCGGTATCTCACACACAGGCATGAATTACAGGGCAAAGATTTCAGTTTCAGTTTAACAGATATTTTCCCAGTTGGTGAAGGGAGGGAAGAGGAGGCATGGTTAATTTTATTGGGCACCAAAAATGTGCCTGTTGTTTTTCTTTTTTTCTTGTATCTGTTAGGCTTTCCAATTTCATGCCATTTCTCCCCCGACCTCTTCAAGGGAAGAACTGCACTTCTTCCCACCCCAGACCTCGCGCATGTGGTGAGATGAGACACACAGTGAGTACCATGGCCTGGAGGTGAGCGGTGTCGATATTTCCGTATTTGTCCACCTCCACAGGCTGGATCTTCATGCCCGCCATGTGAGCGCTGGCCGGATTGGTCCCATGTGCTGATTTGGGAATGAGGCAAACCTTGAGATTACAAAGAAAGGGAGTGAGGAAAGAGAAAAAAAAAATCACCAGTCTAGAAATGACAAAATTCCCACAAGACGCCACAGCACAGAGGCTTTGATTTCAGCGAATCACTGCTGCCTTAAAATCTGCTCTGAAGTGATTACTAACACTGTTATTGCAGAAATATCCAAAAAGAAACTGCCATTAGAATTCCAATATTACTCCCTAAAGATGTCCAGAATGTCTTCTCTTACCCCAGCATTGTAAAAGCAAGCTATGCGCTTTATTCTAACCTTGACTTTCCCCCACCGTTTTTTGTTTTGTTTGTTTTTATTTTTTGAGAGATAAGTTCATGCTCTATAATCCAGATTGGTCTTGAGCTTGCTTATGTTGCCCAGGCTGGCCTCAAACAGTGATCCTCCTACCTCAGTTTCCCTAGTGCTGGGATTACAGGTGTGTGCTACCATGCCCAGCCCACTTTACTTGTTAACAGAGATACGAAATAAACTCTAGGACTCAAAAATGCCCATGTCCCACCTTCAGTGTTCCTCTTGGCTTATCCAGGACAGATAATGACAGACATAATCTATTGCCTGCCAGGGCCAATATACTGACTATGTCACCATTTATAGCTTATTCTGCAATCAGTGGTTAGCAGCCATGAGAATCATCAGCTAAGCATGAAAATATCCCCAGTAGAAAGGACTAAGATATTTATCCTAAATACCATCCTTCTCTCTTTTTTTTTAATCCTAGAACATTGCAAGCCCCCTTGTTTTTGGTTTATTTGAGATAGGGTTTTGCTATGTAGTTCACTATGGAAGCCAGATGACCTTTTATTCAGAGTGTTCCTCCTGCCTCAGCCTCTCAAGTGCTGGGATTACAGATGTGTGCTACCACACCCAAGCCTGCAAACCTGTTGAAGAGAAAGGGATGGGCCTAAAATAATGGGTATACCAGGGGAAAAAACAGCTGCAAGCTATTTCCTCAAAAACAACAAAGTAGTCTATTTATAAAAGCTACATGTGAACAAAAAGCAAGCTTTAGCCTAAGGTAAAAAGGAATTATTTTGTCATTATTCTGCTGACAGGTTTGTGCTCCTTTCAAATGGCTATTGTCCTTTTTTCTTGGTCAAATGCTTTTTTTTTTTTTTTTTTTTTTTTGGTAGTTAAAACTTTTTTCTTTCATTTCTAGGGCCAAAGCTAGGGTCACTGTCTCCTCTCGCAAGTATTTTTATTCTAAAGGGAATCGTTGCATGAAAGGATATCTTCGGTGCAGAATACTGACAAAGGAAGGAAAGAGAAGTATTAAGAAATATAAACATTTTTGCAAAAAGCCAAAATTAAGGATGCATACCAAGGAAGCTCTGCTGAAACAAAACGAATCCCAGGAGCAAGTGGCTTTGTCTTCTACAGCAGAAGGGATTTTGCAGATGTAGTGAAGTTCATGAAGGACTGGGACAAAAAAACTATCCTCAAATTTTGGGTAGATCCAAAATACAGTCACAACTGTCTGTATCAGAGGGAGGCAGGGCGAGAGGCCATGACAGAGGAAAGAGATGTTTGGAGCATGCCTCTAACCCCAGAAATCTGGGAGACTGAGGCGGGAGGACTGTCAAGTCAAGTCCTGCTTGGGTAACTCAGCAAGACACAGTCTCAAAGTTTAAAAATACATACATTTTTTTAAAGGCTGGGGATATAGCTGAGTGTAAAGGTCCTGGGGGGGGGGGCAGGGATGCTCAATTGACTGTAATGTGTTATGGCAGTTATAAAAAAATACTGTGTGCCCGGATATAAAGAGCAGTGTAAGCCAAACATGGTGGGGCATACCTGTAATCCCAGCACTCTGGGAGGTTAAGGCAGGAAGATCACTAGTTCAAGGCCAGCCTGGGCAACCTAGCAAGGCATTGTCTTAAAGTAAAACAGGGATAGAGATGTAGCTCAGCGTGAAGATCCAGATTAAATCCCTAAAGACATCCCCCCTCCCCACTCCAAAAAAATAAAGAGTAGCAGAAAGACAAAAATTCTCAGTGGAATTTTCTAGGTAGATTTAAGGAATTTAAATTATTTTTTATACTTTTAATCCTTTCTCACTTTAAATTCTGAGTTTAAAATTCTTTTAAAAGACCTGGAAGTAACAGGACTCAGATTTAATATCTGGCTTATCTAAAGTGTATCCAGCTTTTGGTACATCCCTGCCCATTTGGGTGGCTGCAGCATTTTCCCACCCTCTGGGGAGGCTGGAGGAGAGACGGCATGGTGGCATGGTTTGCCCTGAAGACCTGCTGAGTGAGGAAAGGACTGCAGAGTGCTCCTGTGAGGAGGAAGGATACTTTACCGGGGAAAATCCTACACAAAAGGTCAATGCTCTGTCTTAAGCCACTGGGAAGAGACAAATATTCCCATATAAAAATGTATTTGGGGAGAGGGCTGGGTATTTTCCCTTTTTACAGGAAATGCACTCTGTGATCAGCAAATGTGAGTTAATTTGTCTAGCAAATTGAGGTATTAATTGTAAAGTATTTAGGGCAGCGGCTGGCACATGGTAATTGCTACGTAAGTGTTTGTTAGATAAATTTGTATTTTTCTCAAATTAAACTGGTAAATCAAGGGCATTCCATTTTAGGAGCTTCTGAAATTTAACCTTAAGAGCAAATGTGAAAATAACTTCAAAATGCAGCTTGAAAGAAAAGAACCTCCAGGAACCCTGGCGGCTCTGTAGCATATGATTTCCCCCACTTCTTCTGAAAACAGGATATATTTTACTGGATTCCATTAGAGTCTATTGTATGGGAACAGCTGCCTCAGACATCACAGATGTGGAAAAATCTTCCCTAATTATCTTGAATAATAATCATTTTCTTCTTCTCTGACTAGAAAAATCTGCTTTAATTAAAATCTTTGACTCAGAAGGATGTCAACATTTCCAGCTCTGTGCTGTTCAACAGCTCAGTGGCTGGGTAGGCTTCCAGCTTCCCAGCCCGGGAAGTGCAGCGCCCTACCCCTGTCCTTCAGGAAGGAGTGGCCTCTTATACTGTCAGTGACAGTGATACGGTCAAGGGCTCCAGGAGAGACATCACATGTGAAGGGAAGACCACTAAGCATATCGAGCACAGCAGCCAGAAGCAACTACTGTGTCTTGGAAGAACCCTGCCCAGATGAATCACAAGAACCGTTGTTCTCCTTGGACTCTCTGGCTTGGTCCCTGACTCCTGGACCTTTGCAGTTACTTCCCCAGGTCAGAAGGGGGAGTTGGTTGAGGGGTCATCACAGAGTGGAAAGAATCTGGACTGCACTGGCCCGTGGCCACCAATCAGTCATGGGCCTTCTGCAGCACTGCCGTGTGGGTCTGGGCAGCCTCCTGCCAGGCAGAGGTACCCAGAATGTGCACCGCAGAGCCCGGGGCCCCTGCGGGGAAAGCAGGTAACAACAAGGAACTTCAAGGGCGCCCTCAGTGTTTGGGAACCAAAAAGCAAAAATGGACCAGGGTCGGCTGGTATCTTCTCACTGGACAACAGGGGCTCCCCATTTCCTATATCAGTCTATGAGAGTGCTGAATGTTGAACCCCAAGAGTACTTATGGATTGAAACTAACCTTACCTTTGAAACTTAAGAATTCAAAACCACCAGAAAACCCATATGGAATGTAGGAATCCAAGTCTGTCTGGTCTCTCTGTTTCTCTCTGGTTGACACACACTCCCTGCACAGGGGCAGGGTCTACAGCCTACTCAATGACTTGTTTTTCAAAGGTCTTTAAAAATTATTTCTTACTGAGGCAGGAGTTTTCCATGAGTTCAAGGCCAGCCTGGCTACGTAGCGAGATCAAGACTGGCCTCAATTACAGAGTGAGACTTTGTCTCAAAAACATAAAATAAAAAGCAAAACAAAGCAAACAAATAGATAAATAATTAGTTCTATCCTAGCTGGGCGTGGTGGGGCATGCTTGTAATCCCAGCACTCAGGAGACTGAGGGGGAAAGATGAGGGCGCTAGTTTAAGGCCATCCTGAGCTACATGGTGAGACCGTCTCAACCCCCACCCCACCTCAGCAGGCAAATTCTATCCTCCAACCAGGATGAAGGATTAGAAAATATGCCTATTTGACCAAGATAAATAAGCAAAGGAAGGAAAATGGAAATGTTCCTTTTGTTTTATTGAAAGGGAAATTCACTGTAAAATCCAAGCCACTGGCCAGGAATAACCTCCCCTTTTGGATAAAACCAAGAAGGAACTAAAGTTGAGCCCCAACTCAACCAGCACCACCCAGCACCACCCTATACCCTTTCCTCAAACTCTGTAGGGACCAGCAGGGATTTTGCCAGCCCCTGACTCTGACCTAGCATTGCCTGAAGAACTCCAACCCCCACAGCTCAGTAGGAAAGCTAGCATGTGCTGGCCACCAACAGGAAGGGATCGGGACACAGGCACCTTCCTGCCATAACCTGAGGCTGTGCTGGGTGAAAAGGCAGCACCCTTGGGGGTTAGTGGTGCCACCAGCCCCTGCTCATTCCCACAAGGACCCACAAAGGCTACTTTGGATGCTGGATGCCAGACTCATACAGCAAACAGAAGCAGAAACTGACTCTGCTCTGGTCTCTTTGTGTGCTTAGAGCTGAGAATCATCTAATGGTGAGTTTACTGACTCACTAACACTTCTGAGTACGCGCACAGCCAGCAGTGTGCTCAGCCACAGTCGGAGCCATGGATGAATTAAAAGTGTGGTCTTTACCCTTTGTTCACTCCCAGGGCCAGGGCTGAGGCAGAAGAGGTTCGGATAGTAAAGTTCCTGCTCCCTCATTTCCTCCTAGAGAGGGCATCTTACATTCAGGGCTTGAGCAAAAGCCTTTTCGTCCCTAAATGACTTCCCTTAATGTGGAGAAACAGGGTAACTTGGAGGCAAGGACCATAAATGGCTAGTTCACAGAAATTGATTTCCTGATTCTATGTCTCCCCAGTCCACTACTAAGAAGGAAAGTCCCATCGAACCCAAGGGACCCTGAGAGCTAGACCCAGAGCTGCCCCGTGGTCAGCAAGCACCAGCTGTCCTCCTCACCGTTCTGTGCTGCTCTCCTTTATGGTCTAAGTATGCTCGGATGGTGGCCAGTCCGGCATATTCCCCCTGAGCTCCACTGCAAAGACAAGGAGAAAAGGATCAGGGCTTTGGTCTTGGCTTTCACTTATTCTTTCAGTATTTATTGGGTACTGCACACATGTTTGCCAGGATGTGAAACACAGCCACTTTCCCGGACACTGGAGAAAGCTCGTCTAGGATCTCCACATTGAGCCAAGAAGCCTTGAACAACCAAGGTGATGGCCGTCAGGCTGTGCACGGAAGCCTGCTGACCAAAGCCCCACTGTCTGGCTCAGGCACATGCACTGAAAACAACTTTTTCATTACAGAAAATTTCCAAAGTATAGCAAAACAAAAAAATAGAAGGAACCACCAGTTGTACCAATCACCCAGCTTTATTAGCAGCTTATGGCTAATTTTGTTTCCAATCAGCTCATCAGTCTCCTTCTTTCTGGGTCTTTTATAGTTTTCTGCAGTCCTGGGTTTTTGTACTGAGCTCCATTTCCAGGCTTTTTTTTTTTTTTTTAACTTTGAGTCAGGCTTGGTAAAATTAGGCTACATATGAACTCGTAATCCTTCTGCCTCAGCCTCTCAGTGTGTTAGGATTACAGTGTGAGCCCCCAGACCTGGCTTGAGTCATTTTAAAGCAAACCTTGGGTGTCCTATTTTATCAGTTTAAACTTCAACGTGTATCTTTCAAAAGTAAGATTTTAAGAACTATGATAATACTGCAATTATCACACCTAGAGTAATGAACTGAAATTTCTCAGTATCATGAAATGTTGAGCCAAGGACCAGGATACACACACAGGAATTGTGCAAGTGAAATATGGAAGGAACCGTTCCTATAGATCTCAGGGTTGGTGATCTTGGAACCCACACGCCGATGGCTGCTGGAGGCTGGCGACACTCGTCCCAGCAGTCCTCACCATTTCTGAGCACACAGGGTGACTAACACTGAGTGAGCAATGATGAGTCAAGGGCAGACTGTTATTCAACATCCTCAGGTGCCCACGCAGGAAGCAAGGGAAGTAATAGATCTTTCCAACCCACGCAGAGTATGTAGGTCCTCTGTTCCGCACTTCCAGGAGATATACATTGCTACTCCCATTTTGCACACAAAGAAACTGAGTAGAGTGTTACCTGCCCACAGGGCTGTGGCAACAGGAAGACACTACGTGGATTTGGTTGCTTCGAGCAGTCGCACATTTCCTTTTCAGCAGAGCTGCCATGCTGAACCTGCAGGCCCCATGGACTGAGGGTCATGGGTGCAAACACTGTTTTTCTTTATAGACTCTGGGCTGCTTGACTGAACTAGGAGGGTTAGCTGAACGCGAACAAACAAACAGGTTCAAATACCACACAAACCTTACTACTGTAGGGGAAGACACCATAAGGACAATTATTACTGCCACCTGCTGGTGGAAAAGTATTACGCTTCTCTGCATAGTCCAGATTGGAGAGACCATCAGAAATCAACTAAAGCCAGAGCGGCAGCAGCTAGGACAGTGGTTTTCTGATCACTAGTTAAAATTAAGTGGTTAGTAGCCTGGAGCCATAGGAAAGACAATGCCTATGATGGGGAAGCTCAGATCCACAGAAATGCCAGCCTGGCACAAAGGCCAAACTGCTTTGGAAAATAAGGCCCTGCAGGAGGCAGCGCTCAACTCGGGCTGAAGGAATTGGTGCTTTACCCTTCAGTGGGAAGGAAGAAAACTAGCAGGCAAATCCCTCCAAAACCCAAACTCACTCTACAGAGAAGCCATGGAAAATTCAATAAACTTCAAAAGAAACCATAACAACTGTACAAGAACCCGCAAGGTATGAATTGGAAGTTTTGTAATTTGCTCTTTTGTGATTAAAGCCTCGGTCTTATCAGCATTGCAGTGTCATCATGGGAGTGGAAATTCAGGGCAGCTAGTCAGTGTGAACTTAGCCCGATGGAAAAAGATTTTTAATTTTAAAAATGAAAAATGAATAAAAACAATGATATCAATGGTATCAGAATATCAAGGCAAAATAATAGGAGATTAACAGGTTAATATATTGCATATTGTTATCTTCAAAGTAGCTGTTCAGATACAGAAATAAATGATCAAACAATTGAGCAATGAAAGCACAAACTTCATTTTGATGAACGAAGTTTTTAAAATTAAAAGACAAACTGTACATGGCACATACAGATAGGGTGACAGAAGGCTTAAAAGTTCATTTTGCAAGATTAGAACAGGACTTTAAACCTCAGTATTTTCTTTTTCCTTTCTTCTTTTTTTTTTTTTCTAGTTTCCGTCTTTGCCAGGAAGCCAAGGCAAAAATTTTGAGATTTAGTGTATGTTTTTTGTGTCTATTAGTTAGTGTAACCAAGAAGGTTTAAATGTTTAAATCTTCAGGACAAATTTTCAATGTAAGGTAGCAAGTCCAGTCTGGGAACCAGCGCCATGCACGGGCAGTCACCAGACTGGGAACAGCCAGACCCCAGTCTCTCTCCATCTGTCAGTGCCATTTGCGGACTGGGGGTAGGGAGAACAAGGCCATACCAGGAAGCAAGCCCAATTGGGGAAACAGTGCCATGCACGGGCTACCGCTGGACTGGGACAGACAGACCCCAGCTCCTTCTGGTGAGTGGGCTGGCAAACAAGAAGTACCACCTCCAACCCCCACCGTAAGCAACAGGCTTAACCACAGAAGCACCGGCTATGATGATAGCGATGGAGGTGAAATGCAATTGGATTACTGTGGTGCTTTGGTGTTTCACTAACATTTGGTCTATGGCCATGGTCGATCATGGGTTCAGAGGATAGCGGTGCACAGTGTGACATCTAGGGGGGATCTCCTTCTGAGGGTTGCAGCCATTGTTGATTCCCTATGGTCATGTTTTCAAAGTCCTATATCATTTCCATTGTTTTGTTGGGCTGGGTTTTACTCTCTTTTGTTTTGTTTGATTATGTCAAATCCAGTGGCAGGAACAGCTATTTCAAAGATAACAAGAAATATTATCATAGCAATTTTGGATTTACTATTGGCTTTACTGCACTGCTTCATTTGTATTGTTCCTATTCTATTCTGTTCTGTTTGATTTTTACTATGTCCAAAGTTATTTGCAGGTATTTTGAAGACATCAAAAGACATTATGGTAACTTGTTGATTTCATAATGTTTTTAAGTCCTGTATTTCTTACACTGATTTTTTTAAAATTGGTTTTATTGTTTTATCCTCTTTAAAATAAAAAAAAAAGAGAGAGGAAAAAAACCCCATAATTTCCAAAGCAACCTAACATAAAAGCAATCTCAAGGACACAACAGAAACTACTGCTACATTTTGGAAATATAATTATGGATAGTATGTCTAACTCCATGAAGAAAGAACATGGTCATATCCTAGGAATGGTTTTGCAGAACAGGCAAGGCCAGTACACATCATCAGTGCAGAGCAAGTCTACAGCAGGGATGGGGCGCCTTCTAGAGCTTTCACGATACAAACAGTCCACAGCAGCACAAGTACCACAGGTTCCCCATCACTGGCCTCGAGTTTTTTGAGTAGGAAAATCAAGATGAGCTGAATTCATTACATTTCACAAAGGAGGCATTTCTGGACAGCTAGTGTATAATTTCTGGCGCTCACTGCCAAAGTCATCCTTGACCATCATGAAAAGAAAACACTTCAGTATGGCTTAAAGAATGTGGTGACTTCTACTGACACCACAGAAATGTCTTCAGTGGGGGCTGCTTTGGAATGTTTGCAGATGAGTCACTGTAGCTGCTGTTCTTAAAAGAAATAGTTTTTTAAAATATGTATAAGTATATAATGGCAGGATAAGCTATACCAAGTTAAGGTGAAAACCAGCAGCCACCAAAACTCCCACTGAGACATATTGTGATTACGCTGAGGCAACAGTTTGGAGTTAAGAAAAACACTGTATTTTTATACAAGTCTGCAGGGCTTCGGGTGAGGCAGTGTGGTCAAACGGTGGAGTATATACTTAGCACCAGAGGGGAAGATGTAAAATACGCCTTAAGAAATGATCATGCCGCAGATTTTACATTTTCAAAAATTTAGTACTAGATAATTACTACATAATAATCAAGTATCTAGATTTATCACGTCTATTTTTGTTTTACTTTGATATGGATATTCTAAAAATTATAGTTTTAACACAATTATAGGTTTGTACACTCATTGCCACATTTAATGTGTACTTTTAGGAGTTTCCTTTTAAAGCTATTTATTTATGTAGGCAGATCTATTTTACTTTTAATAATATTTGAATATCCTAATAAGTGTCTCATGGTATGCTTTTTTAAAAAATCACATTTCAGAAGACATTTTTTGGCTCGCATCTGTAATCCCAGTTATTTCAGAGGCTGAGGCAGGAGGGGCAGCAAGGTCAAAGCCAGTTAGGCAGCTCTGCATGCTTACCTCAAAATTATTTTAAAAAAAGAAAAAATAAGGCTGCAGACATAACTTGATGGGAACACCTTGGGTTCAGTTACACAGCAAATAAAATAAAATATACCCAAGTGTGGTGGCATACCACTGTAATCAACCTCAGCACTCAAGGAGGCTGAGGCAGGAGAAGTACAGGTAAACTTGACCCAGGCTGGGCATCTTAGTGATTCAGCAAGACCCTGTCTCCAATTAAGAAAAAACAAAGAAAAGCTACAGTGCTGAGGATGTAGCTCTTAGCAATGAGCCTGATTTCAATCTCAGCACTGAAAAATAAATAGTATTTGTATAAAACGTATTTCAAGAGTAATACATTGTTTCAATGAGAATCTGTTTCCTTCAACCATCTGTAACATCTATGAGGTCTAACATCCAGCCTTTTGTACAAACTTAACATTTGGAAGCTAAAATAGCATTTCCCCCAATACCTGACTGTTAGGTGTGGTGGCCCATGCCTGTAATCCTAGCGCTTAGGAGGCTGAGGCAGGAGGATTGCCATGAGTTTGAGGCCAGCCTGAACTGCACAGTGAGACTTTGCCTCATAAATAAATAAATAATTACAAGAATTTCCATAGCTATAAATCAATTTTTTAAAACAAATTTATACAGAGGTAA